AATAAAAAAGATATAATAGCGTAAACCTTTAGATTATAGCGTAAACGTTCTAAACTTTCAAAATGTATATAAGCACTTTGAATTCAATAAAGAACGACACTTAAGTTCTCATCCAATATCAATTACCAATAAATAATAAAAGTATCTATTTATCTGAATTTTCCCTTGTGAAGTATTCTCCGAATTCGACTTGTAACTTTAATTACCTCTTTCGAGACTCAATTCGACGGACTGAATTGACTTGTAACTTCGATTTGGCTTATTAAGACTCGGATTCTATAACATTTGTGGAATCAGATATTGCCATTCACATTAGTGACTTGCGGGAATTGTGGTAGAGAACGACACTTACGATTGGGTATTCGACTCTGGTAATCCATCACAGTCCTTAAGTTCACCACTTTATTATTACCCTTAACAGCATCACCTGTAGTTGCATCACCCCCTCATCATCCCTATTAATATTAAAGTATCCGTTATAGCGTCCTATTGCCCAATTAGTCCTCTAATAAATATAAAAAGACCCTCTTCGCTTCTCAAGTTGTCCTTATCTCCCCGTACACCATTAGAATTAAATTGGCCTTTTACCCATATTATTTGAATAAGCTCTCCCATCAACGGTTACAGTATCGAGATGTTTCATCACACATAAAAAGCGTACGACTGGTCAAATGACTGGATGAATGCCGACTAGCAAAGGCACCGGAAATAAGTTCGGTTAGAGGACTTGAAGTCAATAGAATCATAGTGAGTAATGTTAGCTAAGTAATTTGAACAGAAACAATGACATGCTCACAGAAACTTAAAATTAGCGAGATTGCGCAAAGTATCAACGTAACAGTAGAATGAGCGCGAAGCAGCATCAGTCGGCGGTTTCCAGCTTGCTCGTCTGTTAAATAAGAAAATGGAGGCTATCATGTATGGTGGGATAGGTTAGGTCAAGACATTTGTTTGTCTGAGATTATTGTGTTTAAGGGGAAAGAGAGTCGCAAACGGTTCTTATATATATATATCTGCTTATTAATGGGAAATCTTACTTGGTATTCGCAATGCAGGAAGAAGCTCTCCGGTTACACTTGGACCGCGAAACAAGGTAATGTAGTAGTTAAAGATAGAAAACTTTTTTTCCAAACTGTATTTTTTAGCTGCACTGCTAACTTCGTACGTATTACAATTTATTTTATGATTATATTACACTGAAAAAAATGATTATGTTTTAAGTTTTATGTCTGAATTTATGATATATTGGTTTATTTTATAACTTACATTGGCTCTACTGTAACCGTTGATGGGAGTGCTTAAGAAAACAATATGGATAAAGGCCAATTTAACTCCAACAGTGTACGGGAATAAACTTAGAGAAACAAAGGGAGTCCTTTCCAACTGTCGGAGGTCTATTGAAACACTTAAGGACAGGTGAGGGATTAACCAAGTTTAGTAACCGATCGTAAGTCTCGTTCTCTACCACAATTCTCGCAAGTCACCAAGATGAAGTGCAATATCTGATTCCACAAACGTTCTAGAATCCGAGTCTTAATAAGCCAAATCGAAGTCACAAGTCAATTCAGTCCGTCGAACTGAGTCTCGAATGGGTTTATTAAAGTTACAAGTCGAATTCAAAAGACAATACACAAGGGAATATTCAGATAAGCAAAACGAGAGATTTATTTATTTAATGATGGAAGGAAAAATAATATCAATGATGAAATGGAAAGTTGGAAAAGGTTATGAAAGGCTGTGGCTCTCCTTTATTGCTTGGTACAGTTGGTCTTTAAATACATTTTCAGTTTTGGCTACGTTTACACTCCAACGGCTAAGTTTACACTACTTTCGCTACGTTCGCGTGCACTTATTTGTGCGAGTGGTACAAATCCAAAAAGGGAAATTAGCCAATCGGAGAACGTAAAATGTGATTATCCCAGATCAGCCCGACACGTGAGCGAAACGAAGGAAAACAAATGAAAAAAGCGAAAATACAATAAACTGAGTGTTTAAACCTATCTTGGGTCACTAATTAAAAGTGACGGAAATGAAATTTCACATATAGAAAGTAAATGTATATTTTCACGAACTTAGTTTATTTTTACGTTGAATTTCCTTTTTTGGGTTTGTATCACTCGCACAAATAAGTATTTACCTATTTCTTAGTCATTTCCTTGTGAATACGTATGCAAGTACCTATTGTAACAGGTCAAACGGTTACGTTTACGTACCCACTGTCGCGCCTTGGGTAACATTCATATGAATAAGTCACCAAGCCAATGGATGGGGTAACACAAATAAATTATATACAAGCGGAAAAGTTACCGACTAAAATATGAATTTAGAACAAAAATAAAGAAATTAAAATTTAATTTGTTACACTATTCAATTTACCATTAGAGATGTTCTAGAAATAATTTCTAAAGGAGTAACTATGCATGCATGTTGTTTTGGAAGGTTATTTCTACATTGGGTATCTAGCAATTAGAAATTATTGTCTATTGATTAATCATAACATCTAATTCTGTAGAATCTAATCATGCAATTATTGAAATAAGTCTGGTGTCGACTTTAAATCGGTGATAAAAGTCAGAAAGGATGAACATACTGAAAAAAATATATAAAGAGAAGAAGGAAACGAATAATCAAACAAAAAAAAATGTCGCAATCTTCATTTTCTCCGCAATATTATGAGATATTACAACAAATCAAAGAATTTGATGAATCTTATAAAGACAAATCCATAGAAGAAGCGAACAAACAATCGGATCAATTTCCTGTAGCAATTCCAGATAATTTCATTATAAATGAGGTTAAATTAGATGAGAAGTATAGGATTAAAAGCAAGGAGTATTTGGTGGATGGATTGAAAATATATGAAGACGTTATTGATGAAAAATGGAAAGATTTTAATGATGATGGATTATGCGGAGAATGGCTTAAGGTTAAGGATAAGGAGGACACAGGAAGAGTAGTACTTTACCTGTTTGGTGGAGGATATTATAAGGGATCACCTAAATCAGCCCGCGGTCTTACTCATCAGATTGCTGAAAATGCTGAGTGCTCAGTTTTTGGTAAATTTTTAATTTCTGAATTTCTTCAGATTTGATTCAAGGATACAATTAACCATTTTAATTTATTTAATATATTATAATTAGCAATTAATTATCATCTTGCACCACAACATCAATTTCCTACTCAACTTTGTGATGCTTTAGCGGCATATCTATATCTTATCAACCCTGGACCGGAAGCAGGATTTAAACCAATTGATCCTAAAAAAATTGTATTTGCCGGATCTAGTGCTGGTGGTGGATTAGCTACTGCTACCGCATTATTTATTCGTGACGTTGGTTTACCATCGCCATCAGGACTTGTTTTATGGGTATGCAACAAACATTTTAAGTAACCAAATAAATATATATAAATCCTTTTCTTAATTTATTCAATCCGATTAGTAACGTCTCTTTTAATAAATAAATATATGCAAAAGTCACCATGGGTAGATTTGACATGTAGCATGCTATCATTTTCGAATCCTGAAATGGATAAAACTGACATCATTGGTGGCAAACTAGGCCTTCGTAAGCTTGGCCCACCAACCCCTATGGCAATCGAATATCTTGAACGTGTAAAAATTCTCTCAGAAAAAATTAAGCAAAAACAACCAAAAGTAGTTGGTCATCCTTCTTTTACCAAAGTTCCAAGATTTAATTTACATTGCGCAAATGAAGCTATGGCCATTCCTTATGTTAGTCCAATGTTGGCTGAAAGTTTAGGAAATCTGCCACCCATTTTATGTGTAAGCAATTAGATTATAAATTATTTGCACATATTAATTTTATGTTTGTTAATCACTTCTTTTATATTTACTGTTAAAAATAGCAAGTAGGTGGTGGTGAAAGATTTCTGGATTCAAATATTTTATTCAGTTTCAGAGCTTCTGATCCAAGTAAATTTCAATTACCTAAATACGCTACAACAAATTTTGCTAATTCACCATT